ATTTTTCCAACACCTATTATATATGTTGGCTCTCATTTACACTTTCAGTTTCTCTCACCAGAGAAATAATGTGGTATTTACACGTGTGAGTCTGATGGCTTTCACTCAAGTATGGTCTCAAGGTGCGTCCATTGAGCTAGTTTATTGTTCTTTATGGCAGATTAGTACTTTGTGGTATTTAAAAACACACACATCTTTATCCATGCATCAGTTGATGGGCATTTGAGCTGTTTCTGAGATTTGGCTACTAAAAGCTGTGCTGCTATAAACATGGGCATGTATACATATATAGATATAGATATAGATATAGATATAGATATAGATATATAGATATATATATTTTTTAATTGGTACCGGGGATCGAACTCACAACTGCCTGCTTGCAAGGCAGGCACTTATGCCGCTGACCTAAATCCCCAGCCCCAGGCATGCATATATTGCTGTGGTATGATCCTTTCAGTCTTTCAGGAAGATACCAAGAAGGCGAACAGCTATGTTGAATGGAACCCTTACTTTTAGTTTCTTTCTTTTTTTTTTATTTTAAAGAGAACAAACAATAAGAACCATGTTAGAGAATTTTATAACAAGATAAAAGGACATTAACAATGGTTAATGTATTGTATATTATCTTCAAAGTAGTTGCTCAGATTACAAGATATAGGCATGCAAAACTGATCAAACACTATAAGCACAAACCATTCTTCTCAATGAATTAAGACAAATTAGTGTTATAATTTTCTCAGCTATCTTGTATATATATATTATATATTTATATTTTTTCCCTTCCTCAATTTCTCCTTTCCACCAACCTAGTGGTTCTTCTCTTTTGAGCAGTTCTTTTTCTTTCACAATACCTGCTGTAGATTTTGGATATCTTTGTTTCTCACACTAAGGAGACAATACAGTGTTTACACTTGCAAGTCTGATTTATTTCACTTATGAGTATGATCTCTAGTTCCATTCATTTACCTATAAAAGCCTTGAGTTTATCCTTCATTGTGGTTGCACAAAAATACATTTTTAAAAATCCATTTCTTAGGGGCTGGGGATTTAGCTCAGCGGCATAAGCTCCTGCCTTGCAAGCAGGCAGTCATGAGTTCGATCCCTGGAACCGATAAAAACGAAAAACAAAAAAAAATCCATTTCTTGGTTCATGGGCATTGGGTTGTTTCCAAGACTTAGCTATTACAAATTGTGATGCTATAAGCATGGATGTACATATATTGCTGTGGTGTGATGTTTCTAATTCTTCTGGGAAAATACTCAGACAGGAAATAGCCAAGTTGAAGGGGACCTCCAATCCTAGTTTTCTGAGGAGTCTGCACACTGATTTCCACATTGGTTGTACCACTTCACAGTCTCTCCAACAGTGGAGAGGAGTTTCTTTTTTCCCAGCAGCTTCCACCATTTGTTATTGCTTGATTTCCTGATGATAGCCATTCTTTCTGGAGTGAAATGGAATTTCAGTGTTGTTTTAAATTGCATTTTCTCCAATTTCAGTGTTAAACAGTTTTTCATATATTTATTTGCCATTTGTATTTCTTCCTCTGAGAAGTATATATGCATTTCAGATACCCGTTTGGATGGGCTCTTTGAATTTGGGAGTCCTGATTTTTTTCAGTCTTTATACATTCTAGATGGAAGTCCTTTGTCTGAGGGACAGTTGACTAAAATTTTTTCCCAATCTGAGATTTTTATTTTTGCTCTATTGGTGATTTCTTTTGCTATGCAAAAAATTTTTAATAAGATGAGATACCAGTTGTTGATTCTCTGAAGCGCTTCTTGTGCAGTTTGCATTTTATTCATGTACTGTCTACTCCTGTGTCTTTGAGATTTCTACATACTTTCTCTTCTAATAGATTTAGTGTTTCTGTTTTAATAGTTAAAGCTTTGACACATTTTGATATTAGTTTAGTGCACGGTGGTAGACATTGGTCTAGATTTAATCTTTGGCATGTGGAAAGTCAGTTTTTCCAGCACTATTTATTAAAGGGGCTGTTTTTCTCCTAGTGAACATTTTTGGCCCCATTGTCAAAGATAAAGTGGCTTGGCTGAGTTTGTTTGTAGTTGTGTCTGCATCTTCTAATCTGTTCCACTGACCTTCAGATTTTTTTCCAATACAATGCTGATTTTATCACAGTGGCTTTGTAGTATAATTTTGTCAGGAATTGTGATGCCTCCTGCCTTGCCTTTGTTTCCCAGTATTTCTTTTGCTATTCTAGGTCCCTTCTGGTTCCAAATGAATTTGAGGGATGTTTTCTCTAGATCTGTGAATTATGCTAATGGTGTTTCGATTAGAATTACTTTAGGGCTAGGGATTTAGCTCAGTGGCATAAGCACCTGCCTTGCAAGCAGGTGGTTGTGAGTTTGATCCCCGGTACCAATAAAAAAAAAAAAAGAAAAAAATACTTAAAATAGATGGCTTTTATTAGATTAAGGTGAAGATCATGTATTCCAGTTTTCTGTAGGTTTTTTTTTTATCATGAATGAGTGTTGGACTATTGCATCTATTGAGATGATCATGATTTTTGTCTTTGCCTCTGTGGATATGGTGTATTTTGCTCATTGAGTTGTGTATGTTGAACCACCCCTGTATTCCTATAATGAATCCCATTTGGTCATGTTGATAATCTTCTTGATGATTTGCACATTCTGATTGCGAGTATTTTATTGAGGATTTTTGTATGTATGTACATTAGGGAAAGTGACCTGTAGTTTTTTGGGGGAGGGGTTGAATTTTTCTCTGATTTTGATATCAGGGTAGCACTTGCCTCCAAGAATGAGTTGAGAATAGCTTCTCTTTCAATCTCATTAAAAAGCTTGAAGGAAAAAAAAAAAAGCTTGAGGAATATTGTCATTAAATTTTCTCTAAATTTCTTGTATATTTCAGCCATGAATCCATCAGGACCCAGGCTTTTTTTTGTTGATATCTTTAATTATGTTTTTAATTTCATTAACAGATATTGGGTCATTCAAAATTTTTGTATCTTCTTGTCTTGGTTACTTTTCTCTTGTTGCTGGGACAAAATGTTCAACACACAAAATGATGGAAGAAAAAGTTTGTTTAGCCCACAGTTTGCGGAGGCTTCAGTCCATAATCAGTTGGCTCCAAGGCAGAGTGGCACGACACAGGGGCAATACGTTATGGCATCAGCTAGCAAAAGCAGCCAGAGCAAAAAGTGGGGAGAACAAGCCTCTTTTCCTCCCGTAGATTATACGCAGGGCATTCCCTCTCTCCAGGGTGAGTGTAGCAATCACAAAATCTCTGTGCCTTCCTCTTGCACAGGTAAGGATATTTACAAAGTAAGAATCTTGGCTCTCTGATGAGTCTCTTAGTTAAATTTCTAAGCTTCCCAAGTTATCAACCATAACACTTGTTGATGCAGTTTTAGTATTTTATGTTTCTAGGAATCTGCCCATTTCTTCTGTGTTTTCCATATTTTTCAGGCAGATAATGATGTTTTGAATTTCCACAGAATCTGTTGTGATTTCATCCTTTTCATTTTCTATTGAATGAGTTTGAGTTTTTTATTTTCTTTTATTTTGATAATGTTGGCTGGGGTTTATCAGTTTTATTTATTATATCAAAGAACCTAGTCTTCAGTTTGTTATTTCTTTGTATTGTTTTTTTTTTTTAGGCTCAACTACATTAATTTCTGCTCTGATCTTTATAATTTCCTTCCTTCTTTGAGCTTTGGGCTTGACTTGCTTTTTTTGTAGAAGCTTGAGATATAGTTAGGTTGTTGTTTGTGCTCATTCTATTTTCCTGATGTAAGATTTCGCTGCTATAAATTTCCCTCTCGGCACTGTTTTCCATCCTTTGAGTTTTAGAATTCTTTTTGAGTTAAATGTGTTTCTTGTATACAGCAAATAATTGGATCTTATGTCTTGATCCATTCTGCTAGTCTCTTTAGATTGGTGAAGTGAGGCCATTTACCTTGATGATTATAATTGACATGTATCTTACGTGTATATCTTTGTCATGTTATTTTCCTGCTGTTGCTTCCCTACTTTTCCCTCCATTTAATTGCTTTCCCTGCTTGGTAGTTTCTTTGTTCTTGGAATTGTGTTCATTTTTATTTGGGTCTAGATCATCTTTCAGTACCCTTTGTAGTGATGGCTTGGTGGTCGTGAATTTCTTCAATTGTTCTTTGTCATGGAAGTATCTTATTTCTCCATTAGTTTTGAAAGATAGTTTTGTAGAGTACATCAGTCTGAGTTAGAAGTTGTTTTCTTTCAGAAGTTGAAATACTCCACTCCAAGCTCTTCTTGACTTGAGGGTATACGCTGAGATGTCTGCTGTGAGTCTGATGTGCTTTCCTTTATAGGTGATCTGTTTCTTTTCTCCAACAGCTTTTTCTTTTTCTTTCGGTACATGAATTGAACTCAGGACCTCACACTTGTCAAGAAGGTACTTTGCCACTGAGCTATATCTCCAGTCCACTGGCAGATTTAATAATCTGTTCTTGTGCTGAATTTCCGGGGTCTGGATTATTATATGTAGATTTATTTTGTTTATGGCTAAGTATAGTTCTATATGCCTCACTTATCTTGTGTCTTCTTTTCTATTGCTTGGGAGATTTTCTGCTGTTTCTTGTACAAATAGATTTTTATGACATTTGTGTTGACTCCTGCTTTTTCTTTTTGTCTTTCATTTTTTATCGGTACCAGGGATCGAACTCACGACTGCCTGCTTGCAAGGCAGGTGCTTATGCCACTGAGCTAAATCCCCAGCCCCTCCTTTTGTTATTTTCAAGAGATCTTTGCTTTTATATTTGCTAGCTGAGATTGTGTTTTTAAGGTCTGAAAGTCTGTCTTCAGTTTCATTCAAGTGATTTTTCCCCTTTTCAATGGAATTTTTAATTTCCTGGGTATCTGTTCTATTTTTTCTATTTCTTTACTGTATTGATTTTTCTCAGCTCCCATAGTCTTTCTATCATCATCTTTTTTATTTATCTCTATTCTAGACTTTCTGATCAGTTCCTTTATAAATGCTGACATTTACAAATCCCTTTATAAATGCTGACTTTTTTTTACCTGAGAGATTATTCCTGAGTTGATTTCCTTTAAAGCCTGATGGATTTGTTTCTTTACTTCAGTTGCTATCATGTCATAAATTTCAGGTGTGTAGGGATGGGGATTTAGCTCAGGGGCATAAGCACCTGCCTTGCAAGGGCATGGTCATGAGTTTGATCTCCAGCACCAAAAAAAAAAAAAAAAAAAAAAGAAAAATAAATTTCAGGTATGTGTCTTCTAATTTATTCTATGTCAATATTTCTTGGAATTGTTTTTAGTGGGTTGAAGATATGAGATTGCATTTTGCTTTTTCGTCTTGTCATTTTCTGGTTATATTTTTAAATTTTGTTTTCTAGGATGATCTTTGTGAGTTTTTGAGGTGGATAACTATATTACCACTGTCAAGATCTCTTTAGGAAAAGTCTTTTCTTCAGGGATGTCTATGTTGGAGATTCTTGATTTGTGTTTGTTCCAAGATTCTACTTTCCCATTTAATTAAGAGTGAGATGTTAGTATCTATTTGGCTAAGTCACCAGTCCTTTGGTGTAGGGCTTTGGTAAGGTTATTACCCCAGAGCTTCCTAGTATTGTTAGAAGAGAGAGCAGCTGATTACAGTAGATATGACCTCCTGGCTAAGGTAGTAAAATTGGCAATAATGATAGCATCAAACACAATTTAGAGACTGACAAGCTGTGGTAACTATTGATTTTGTACTTTAGACCAGAGGAGTAAATCCTATAGTTATAGAACAAAACCAGTAATAAAATTAGGAGGTTGTACACAAAGCGTTTCCCCTTGGTAGAGTGGTTTTACCCTGTGGTGTGGCACTTTAGGTACTTTGCCACTGAGCTATATCTCCAGTCCACTGGCAGATTTAGTGTATAAAACAAATAAAATTGGGAAGGAAATAGAAGCAAAGCTGGAGGACAAATGGTGGTCACACATGGTTTGAAAAACTAGACAAGGAGGTAGAAAAGAAAGAATAAAGGAATGTTCAAGGTATTATCTGAACTTAGTCTTTGGGTTTGGGGGACAGGGTTATCTTTCTGTAGCTGGAGTTCTCCCCCAGCTGTTTAGCAAAGAGAGGAAAAAAAAGAAAGAAAAGGGGAAAAAAGGAAGAAGAACAAAAAAATGGAGCAAAAAGACAAAGGAAAGAGAGAGACACAGAGAGAGGGAGAAAATTGAGAGAAAAGGGAAGGTTGCTGAGTCCCAGCTTTTTTCTGTGCTGAGTCTAGTTTTAATTTCTTGAAGAGTTGCCACACTGATTTCCACAGTGGTTATACCAGTCCACACTCCCATCAACAGTGAGGAAGGGTTCCTTTTCCCCCACATCCTCACCAGCATTTGTTATTCATTGATGTCTTGATAACAGCCATTCTTTCTGAAGTGAGAAGGAATCTCTCACACACAATAGTGATCAAACCCAAGAATTTTGTACAGTTTGCTAAGTACTCTGCCTCAAGCTCAAATTATCATCTCTGAGTGCTAACTCCTATCCTAGTATTTGACTTAATGTAGTGTAATCCACATTATTTCAAAGAAGGGGCTATATAAAGTGCAGGCCAATGAAGTAAGGAAATCACTGTATTTGGTTTGCTCAGTTTTGTGATCAAATTGTCCACAATGTCTTGTGTCCCTCATGTGAATCTCAGGGTTTCTTCTAGGTGTATGACTGTGCTGGATCATTTTGTGTTGCTATAACAAAATATCTGAGATCAGGTACTTCATAAAGTAAAGTGGTTTGTTTGGCTCATGGTTCTAGTGCCCAGAAGTTTTGAACAGCATGATGGCAGCATCCTGGTATCCAAGACCTCCTGGTGGTGCACAACATGGCAGAGAAGCAGAAAGGAAACCAGCCTGCTTTGTGGTAACTGGTCCTCCCACCCTGGACCCAAAACCCACGCGGACCATCCATGGGAGTGGTGGTGACCTAACCCTGCGCAGTAGGTCCCCCTGTTTGAAAGTGCTGCTTCCTTAGTATCACCTCACAGGAGAGCCACTTCCAGCCCACAAACAAACCATGTCCAGGACCTAGCAGTGGTCAAGTCCTCCTGAGCTTTGTCCAGTTTGGCCACGCCAAAAAAGCTAACCAGCAGGCAGCATAGAAACTCACAGGCCCACCTGTGGTTACCCACCCCCCCATCAGCTCCCTGGGGTTACATATGGAAAACTGCATTAGAATCCACCTCCAGCCTTTAGGAATGACTCAGGAACTGATTATTTTGTTTTGAGACAAGGATCTCCCTGTGTAGGCCAGACTGGTCTTGAATTTATAGTGTAACCCAGGTTGGCCTTGAATTTGTGTGGATACACCTGCCTCAACCTCCCAAGTGCAGGGATTATACCTAGCTAGATTGAGACATTGTAACCTTGGAGTGTTGGGTGCTGATTTTGGAAACCCCATCCTACATCAGTGTTTGAGTCTATTTATCTGTTTTTATTTTTATTAGGGTCATGTATCCCCAGGCCTTTCCACTAGGATACATCTCCAGTCTTGCCTTTTTTTTGTTCGTTTGGTTATTTATTTTGAGACAGTGTCATCCTAAATCTTTAAATCATTTAGGCATGGCTCAAATTGGTTATTCTTTTGCTCCAGCCTCCCAGAGTGCTTGGATTGTAGAAATACAACACCATGCTTAGCTAGCTGGCATTTTATTTGCTCTTTTTTCTTTTTCTATCTTTTTGTGCCAGGGTCTTACTATATTGCAGGAAATTTCCCAAGTCAAACTGAAAGGAGGACTCTTCCCACTGAGGAGATAAGAAGGCAGCATTTAATCTTATACCAGCGGACTGCTGAATCTTTGTACCAGTGAACTGTTGTGGAATAGTTCCCAAAGGTAACAGCCCTGAGTTTACAGTTTATGTTCAGATGGCCCCCAAGCCTCATGCAATCATGCAGGCAGCTGATTGTAATGTTTGTGATTGGTTTGCTGTCTAGCACTGGGGTTGGGGTTGGGGTTTTGAATGCTGCACTCGCTCAGGGGTGAGGATCCAGCATACAATGTAAGGGCAGGAAGAAGTAAGTCATGCTTTCCCTCTTTTGCCCTGTTCACTCTTGCTGTTCGCAGCCTCCTTGGACAGCTGCCCCTCAGCACACCACCTTGCCTTAGAGTCAGCTGAGTGTGGACTGAAACCTCAAAAAAACGGTAAGATAAATAAATCTTCCCTTGCTTCACTTTGGGGGATAAGGTGCTTTGTCTCAACAATGAGAGAAAAGGAACCAAGAAATATACCATTTAGAAGTGGATAGTAGAGCCGGGTGTGGCGGCACATGCCTGAATCCTAGCACTTGGGAGGCTGAGGCTGGAGGATCACTGTGAGTTTGAGACCAGCCTGAGCCACAAAGTGAGCTCAAGGCTAGTCTGAACTGCATAGGGAGGCCCTGTCTCAAAAAGACAAAAAAAAAAAAAAAAAAAAAAAAAAAAAAAAAGTGAGAAGTAGGAAGCAAGTGACAAAAGTTACATAATTGGTTACACTCGTTGAGTCCTATATTGACAGGCAGGCTAACCTTAGACAGATTTGTGGAAAGAAAGTAATGTTTTATCATAATATAGAAACATTCCAGCAACTAAGGGAGGGGACCCTTACAGGACAGGCATAGTGAAAAGTGTCCTTAACTAGCCCAGGGTGCTTTAAGGTATAGACAATTACTGACTCAGTGCTTATCAGAGATATGCAGTTGGGTTTTAGACATTGTCAATTGAATGTAGCAGAAATTTGGTCAGAGACCTTCAAGGGATCTCTAATTTGTTTCATGAAATAGATATAAACTTGCTATAAATGTGTTATTACATTATAATTGTGTCCCAACACCTATGTGGTTCAGGCTGGTCTTGAGCTCATTTTGTAGCCCAAACTTTCAATGATCCTCCTGCTTCAGTCTCTTGAGTGCTAGGGTTACAGTGTTTTTGTTTTTATTTATTTGTACTTTTTTTTTTTTTTTGCACTAGGAATCAAACTCATGACTTTATACTTACCAGGCAAGTACCTGAGCCACTGAGCTAAATCCCCAGACCTTTATTTGTACTTTTTTTTGATTCAGAGTCTTGTTATTGTTACAGGCAGTTGAGTTAGAAATATTACAGGCAGGCAGATACAGCTGGTCCCTCAAAGGAACCAGTGCAGAAGACCAGGTTATCTTGCAATCTAGAAGACAGACAACTCTGCTGCAGGCCAGATCTCAAGACAAAAGACAAAACAAATGCATCCACACCCTAAATACAAACATCAAGGATTGATGTTCTAAATAGGTGTCAATTACCTTGATTGATCCTGATTTAATTGAATTTACCTGAATAATTATACTCATAAGCTTATTGAATGACCATAGTTCTGTCCTACCTCATACCCACCTGCTTTGCAAATTCCTACTTTTTCCCACCTCATGGTTTTGCTCTATAAAAGTTTCTAGAAAAGACCCACTTGGCTTTAAGCAAGGTAAATTGGGCTGGCTGAGGAGCTGATGTTTAATCTTTGAAGCAACGTGGTTGCTGTTTCCTCACCCAGTGACTCCCAGAAAAGCATAGTTGAGCCAGGCAGGATGGAGAGCCATGCTCCATGCTGATGGCTGGGATTGAGCCTCAAAATAAGAGGCTATTGTTATAGGGGAATGAAATTTCCAACCTACTATATGTCTGTTACAAGTTCATTTTCTCTAAAATTGAAGAATGGTTTTTTGGAACAACTGAGGTTAAGAGCAGAAATATTTATTGAGAGAAAGAAAGCTTCTGTCTGACAGAAAGACAGAAGGGGTCCCAAGTGGGTTACCAAAGATTCTGTCTTTTCTCAGGATTTTTTTTTTTTTTTGTCTTTTTTTTTTTTGTCTTTTTGAGACAAGGTCTCTTTATGCAGTTCAGGCTGGCCTTGAGCTCCCTTTATAGCCTAGGCTGGTCTCGAACCCGCAATGATCCTCCTACCTTAACCTCCTGCGTGCTGGGCTTACAGGCGTGAGCCACCATACCCTGCTTGGCTTTTCTTGGGATTTTTATAGAGTGAAACCAAGAGGTGAAGTGGGTTTAAAGTGGGGAAAACGGAACTCACAAGGCAAACAGGCATGAAGTGGGACAGAACTATGGTCAGCCAATAAGATTAATTATTCAGGTAAAATTGGGGACAAATTAGGTACAAATGGGGAAGCAAGTCACCTAGCAAGCAACCATTCTTATAGTATAGATCAGTGACTCTTCCTGTAGGGGATTGGGATGGTGACTCCTGGCTTCGCAAGGTAATCCATACCTAATTCCTAAGGATTATACTTAGGGTGTAGTTGCATTTCTTTTGCCTTCTGTTTTGAGATCTGGCCCACAGCAAGAGGTGTGTGTCTCCTCCAAGGTCACCAGACATCTGGTCCTCTGTGCCAGCTTCCTTGAGGGCCTATCCCTTTCTGACAGCCTATAATATTTCCAACTAGCTCAGCTGCCTGTAGCATCACCATGGGTTGCACTGGAAGTGGTCGATTCAAATTAACTCACTAGAATTCCAGTAACTTCTCCATGGGATTGCAAACATAAACCTTGCAGACTGAGATGAGATCTGGGAAAGGGCTCTCTTAATTGTTTGTCTCACTAAACCACTAAGCATTTCCTGTACCCTACTTGCCTATAAACAATTCTAAACTAAGAGGCCTTGTGGCAACCTACTCAGGACCCCTCCTGTCTCTTGGGAGCTATTCCTATTCCCTAATAAATTTGTTCTACTCTCTCTCTCTCATTTTTTTTTTTTTTTTTTTTGTCTTTTTCCTTTTTACCGGTACCAGGGATTGAACTCACGACTGCCTGCTTGCAAGGCAGGCACTTATGCCGCTGAGCTAAATCCCCAGCCTCTCTCTCTCTGCCTCTCTCTCTCTCTCTCTCTCTCTCTCTCTCTCTCTCTCTCTCTCGTACTGGGGATTGAACTCATGACTTTATGCTTGCCAGGCAGGCACTTACCACACTGAATTAAATCCCCCACGCTTTGTTTGTTTGTTTGGAGAGAGGATCTTGCTATGTGATTCAGACCTTAAACTCAATATGTAGCTCAGGCTGGCTTTGAATTCTTAGAGATCCTCCTGCTTCAGCCTCTGGTGTGTTGGAATTACAGATGTGGGCCATCACCACCAGCTAGAACCCTTTTATAACCATAAACTAACTGTAAAGTTGTGCCTGGTCTCATTCCTATTTGTGATGCATATTTTCAAGGATAAATAGCACAAGCTGTTTCATGACCTCAAGGGTATAGTTTAAAGATATATGTATATTACTTGCAGAACCCAAAATGTAGCTGTTTATGCTTTTAGAAGTTGAAATTCAAAAGTATTTTCTTAAAATAGATGGAATTCGGCTTGCCCTGCAATTTTCTGGAAGAAAACTTGTTATCAATTTCAGACAATCATTGTGAAAAGAGCTCTCTGATTTTGAGTAGGATGAAAATTCCATCCCATGGGCATCACTCGGTAGGGGGGGTGCAGGGCAACGCAGTCCCTAATGTCAAACTGTGTGAGCCATGGTGGGGGGGTGGGCACAGGGCAAGCCCTTACATACAGGAGGAGAGACAGTGAAGCCAGGCCGGAGGGAGGAGGGCTGGCAGGTGCTGTCTGAGCAGTGCACAGCGCACTGGGCAGAGCCACTGAAATGATGCTCAGATACATGCCAGGAGGCTGTGGGAAGGTCGGGCTCCCCTCTGCTGTCCAGAAGAGACTTGAGATGGATCGCAGGGGGAATGCACATGCTCAGGTTGCAACTCAGTGTTGTCAAAAACCAGAAAAGCCTCCTGACCTTGACGATAAAAGCTCACTATTTTGTATTGGAAGGTTATCTTCTATTTTTAAAGTTCTTTCACATTTTATGACACCAAATGTAACTCTGTAAAAACTAAAATTTTTCTTGTCGTCTTTGGAATTCAAATCTGCTAATGGCTCAACCCAAAGTCTTTCAAATGTCTTTCCAAAGCCAGTGAATTTAGTGGATGGGTGCCTTAGTCTGTTTTCCATTGCTACAAGGAGATGTTTAAAACTAGATCATTTATAAAGAATAATGGTTCAAGGGCCAGAGATATAGTTCAATGGCATAAGCAAGTGCAAGTGCACTTGCCTGGCAAGTGCAAGGTCATGAGTTCAGCCCTCAGTACCCTCCCCCCACAATGACACAGCACAAGTATGGCTAGCCAGGCATGGTGGCACATGTAATCCCAGCACTTGGAAAGCTGAGGCAGAAAGATGGCCTCAAGTTCAAGGCCAGTGTGGGCTACGTAGTGAGTTCAGGGTCAGCCTGAACTACACAGCAAAACCCTATCTAAACAATAATAAACAAGTGTGCCTGAGACAGCTCCTGGGTGTTTTGTTCTGTTTCCCTGTGCAAGGGCTCCAACCCAGGGCACAGAGCGAGCCATGCAAATGCTTTACCTATGAGCTTCACCACCAGTGTAGAATCCCTTAAGGAAGTTACATTTGATTCATTCACCCAAGGATACTTGAATCCCTTCCTGAGGGATCTGCTCCCCTAACCTAGACATCTCCAAAGGCCCTACATCCAATCCTTTTTTTTTTTTTTCTGTCTTTTTCTTTTTTTATTGGTACCAGGGATCAAACTCATGACTGCCTGCTTGCAAGGCAGGCACATATGCCACTGAGCTAAATCCCCAGCCCCCCTACATCCAATCCTAACAAAAGACTTTGAGGATTCAGTCCCTAACATATCAAATCCAGGGGACATAGCCAAACCAGAACAGTGGCAGCAACCTGCATTTTATTTTCAGGGTGACCAGTATTGAGATGGGTCCTTTACTTGATGCTCTGGCCCACTGTATAGTCCAGCAGGTTATAGTTAGTTCTAGATGCAGGATATTGTCTAAAAGAAATTGGTCTTGGGTGTAGACTTGAGGGTTTATAAGCATAATAATTTACAGACCTGTGTGCATTTTGTAAATTTATTCTGGTTTATTCTAATAAAATTTATGTTCCTGTGTTTTTAGGGGTGGGGCAGTGATTCCTCAAAGGAAAGCAGAAAGATTGATATTAGGGTTGTTTTCCAAGTTAATATTTTTCATTCCCGAGATACATAAGGGCCACCAGTGGTGTGACAGTGGTTGGACAGAGGCGGGGATGACAAAATAAACTCCTGGGTTAGGTGATGAGCTATTACTCTTCCTAGCAAGGCATGTTTCAGCATCA